AAGAATAAAACAATTCAACAAAAAAAAGCAGTTACCCATATTTAGAGCCACTGAATTTACCGAGACGAAAGGTGGTCATTTTATTGCTTTTTCATTTTCTGTCTTCTCTCCTACTTTCACCATCTTTCACCGATTGAAAATACAAAAAAAAAAAGATTGTCAACTTCCTCATCAGATATTTCTTTTTTCGCTTTGACTCGATAATTTTGGCTATGACAGTAATGCTACAATCTTCCTTCACGGCTCCAAAGACAACGACGACGGTGAAAACGATGTTGACGACGTTGAAACTATGACTAATAGAAGCATCGCTCATTGTTTAAAAAAAAAGTTTTGAAAGTTTATACTGTTTCAGTGTTACCAAAATTTCAGAAGTCTACAATATAACGTCGGCAACTGTTTAGACAAGGTTAGGTGTGCTCTAACTAAGAATGTTTTTCTTTAACAAATTGTTCATCTGCCGCTTTTTTTGCTGCAAATTCGGCACTGTCTGGTCGAAAACAACAATTCAGCAAGTCTTTTCCAAATATCATTGTTAAGTGACAAATAGATGAATAAAAAAAGCAAGAAAAACAAGAAATTTTGAAATTTTTCGTTTTTTTTTTTCGTGAAACAAAACAACTACCGAAAGAGTTAGTTCAAAAAAAAATTAAAAATAAATTAGATTTTAATATATATATGCCAGTCCCGTTTAGTTTAGTTTTGTATATACTTCTGTTCAATGTATTTCCTTCTATTCAATCGTCGGTCTTACCATTTTTCTTCGACTTTGATATAATACTCTTAATGTATATTATTTACACATGGAAACATAACAACGAATAGACAAAAAATAACTCATCTACCTAATTCATTTACGTTATTCAAAAAGAAGAAAAAAAGACAAGAGAACAATAACATTAAAAGATATATAACTGTTTAAAGATCTTCTAGAATAAACTTTTCTGTTGCTAAATAGGAAAAGATGTTCGGTTCTCATAAAATTGTTGCTACTTAAAACTCAGCAAAAAAAAAGCAGTCAGTAACGTAATACACTGCAAAAAATTCACAAGAAATTTTTTACAAAAAACAATTTTTTTTGTAATTTTTTTAAATTTCTAAAACAAAAAAGCTAAAATTTGATACAAAACAACAATTGGCAACAAAGCGAAACATGGTTTATCGACTTCTGATCAATGTTCAACTGAATTTCAGAAACTTCTGCAAAAAATTCACTTTTTTCTAGAAACTTTATTGAACGTTTCATCTGATATGATTATAATCAATTCTTCGTACCGCCTGTAAAACAGCAACCTAAAAAAAATTCTAAATTTTTTTTTTCCTTCTACAATCAATTTACTTTTGTTTTCACTAATTTCGTTCAGTTAATATGTACTGTTGTAACTGTTGTAGAAAAAATATAACAAACTCTTTCCTTTTAAAAAAAATTAAAACATCAGATGT